ATTACGCAATTTATAAATTACAAATAACAGAAAATAAAAAACCACAACTGAACCTCGAACGTTTGGCTGCAAAACTTCGTAAGTTTGGTGCTTTTGAATGAATGAAAGTAATGATGAAGGTGTTGGGGCTGTGGGACCTGTCAACAACTTGCCTGATCTCCTGTCTATCACTACAACTCGGTTATTCATGTCTCGAGATAATGTCTGACAAAAATCAGATAGTTACTGTTTTTTTCAAGCAAACAATGCAAAATAATATAGAACAAGTACAAGGGGTGTCCCAATCTTGAAGCATAAATCTGATGGTCGGCATAATTTTTATATAAACATAAGATCATTAGTACAAAATTTAACAAATTCTACATAGATTCTTTCCAATTCAACTTAATATAAATTATTCAAATAGTTTAACTCTCTCCTGACTTTTTAAATTTCATCAGTATTAAGAATTTTGCAGACATTCTAAATATAAAGTGTGCATTTGTTTGTTCATCTTTAATAATTTTTAGAAACAAAAAGCTAAGCAAATTATGATGAATCAATGTGTAACGACAGTATGATAGGCAGAGATCTAACTGAATTTGAACCCAGCCTTTTGCAACCACAGGACCACAAACATTATCATTACGAGGTCTTCAATTTAAGTGGTAATACAAATCTTAATGATTTTAAAAGATTTCATTCAACTAATTTTATTCAATATGACTTGCTAAAAATTTCTTAATTTAAAGCAACTGCACTAGGATTCATTTGAAATAACTTGTACAAACTAACACAAAATACGTATAAAACATTTATATAATTACAAATAGAATTGTCATAAAAGTAAGATTTATTAATGAGGCAGATCGAAGAGAAATAAGTTAGACAGAACTTAAGAACTATTGAGCAGGATTACTACCAAAATTAATAATTAGCTAATAAACACAACCTTCCCATCATCACCGAGAAGCTTCAATGACAACGAAACATGTGCCTCAATACATGCAGGTCCACAATATGATGAACCATCTTGTGACCTCTGAGAACAATTTGGCCCCCTACAAGTTAGGAACTTTTGACTGGACCTATTTACAACCTAGTTGAGAGGATTGAAATATACATTATAACTTGAAACAAAAGTCAATACACCAACAATAATTATCTAAATTTTAAATTATTTTATGACATGTGTGCAACATTCCAAAGCTATATAATATTATCTGTATTACGTGCTAAGAATTACGTCTATTACGTGGTTTCAAATTAAACTTTATACTTTTTTGTATGGAATGAACTTTGAATTATTGTAATGGAAAACATCTAAATATACAAGCTAGATCAAAATTACCAAATAGACCCTAAATACTGAACCACACTAGACAAAAAAATGGTAATAAATTATATTAAAGATCATAATTACTTCAACAGCAGGCCTTTCGGTACCTTTATCAGTTTTAGTTTTCCTTGAAAGTGAGGTTGCATTAGGTGACATGCCAAATGAAGATTTACAATTTTTCATTATTTTAGCAGCAGGTTCATCGCTTGTTGACAATTTTCTCTTTCTTAAAAGCCCTTCTTTCTTCAAAACTTAATATGCAAAAAAATTATAACGGAAATAACATTACAGAAAATTTTCTAAATTTTCTTTTTTACATTTTTAGACAAATACGAAAAAAAATCTAAAATCATGTAACATTTTCTTTGAAGGTTAAATAAATAATTAAGAATCATCAAAAGTTACTAAAACATATATCACCATCTTTATAACAACACTCATCATCAACAGCGAGTATCATCGCTTTTATTTGAATAATTTAAGATTAAAGAGAGGGAAATTGCCACAGAAGCACCTTTTTGTTTATTGCAGTTCCCTTGACTGCCATTCAAAACTTCAACTTTTTTGACATCTGAAGGACCAGTGTCATCTAACTTTTTTAGAGATTTTATTCCAGATATCTTTTTTTTCAAATGAATTAAGGAGTTTCTGCAAATAATAACATGGTGATATCAAAATTAATGAAAATTTTTTCATATTGAAATAAATGATCCCAATAAATATTTTGGAAAAAATATTTGTAGCTTCAAGACATATCTCGTGCTACATCATTACTTTAAACTGGCATTAAAAACATCTATACTTGATAACAGAGGCTGTGTATTCTTCTTTCATTTTTTTACTAAATTCATCATTTGAATGTTCTATATCGAACACGTGACCATTCTCGTTTGCAGTTGTTGAATCTAAATTCCATTCCTGCGTGAAAAAATTAAAATTTACTTTTAATTAAAAAGTCCATCGTAGATTTTCAGTTATTCACTTAAATTTTATATTAAACGTCGTATCTCTTATAATTATCTTCATATCTATTTTATCCATAAAAAATCGTCAGTTCCATTTCCATTGACTTTTTAATCATAGAAAAATTATTCAAAGATGCATGCAAACAAAAGTAAATAATAAAAAAATTTACAATGAAAGAAATAATAAAGTCAATTGTCAATAATAAAGTCAATATCAATCCTCGTTTATAGTCTCCGTCCGTTATAGGTCTGACTTTTTATTCCATTCATCAGCTTCAGTCTCCAAGCCGATCTATCCATTACGTCTGTCTCCTTAAAACCAAGTGCCTTCAAGTCCTAAGTATGGTCTGCGTCCAGGACATCTTTGGGCGACCTCTTTGGCGGGTCACAGGCACCTGGTGCTACGCTTCACATGGCCAAACCATCGTAGGCGATGACGACGACGTGCACCTTCAAAGTGCACAGTCCCGATCGGTTCAAGATCTCGGTTGTATGGATATGGTCCCTTAGGTCAACATGCTGCATCCAATGAATCAGATGTCAGTTCGGTGAAGCTGCTGTTCGAGTTTTGTTGTCATTGGCCACGTCTCTGCACTATACATCAGAACAGAACGTATAGCTATGCTGTACAGCTCTGAGTGCAGCGCTAGAGGAATGCTACGCCGTATCATTACCGATACAGAGAGGTGCCGTCTGCCCCACGCCGCACGTATGCGTCCACTAACGGCGGCATCAGCTGTTCCAGTACAATCCAGCACATCTCCCAAATACTGAAATGAAGTAACAGTTTCGATCATCTGGGCTCCGTTGTCGCTGGTTGATGCAGGCGGGGCGTACGAAATCGGTCACTTTCCTCAGTGAGTCGGTAATTCTCGAGCACCGTTTGTGACACCACTGCTGACATTGTAGGCATTTGATCGAGTTGCTTCCAACTCCAGTCCCACATACCGAACATGGCCAATGACCAGAGACCACAGACTCAGTGGTACCATCGGTGATCATAGATTTTGTTTTTTCAAGGTTTGTTGAATTTTTAAAAATGTTGAATAGTGGAAACACTTGGTTGGTGCGCAATACCATTATTGTGGTTGATTTTATTGGATCACAGTTTTGCTCTGATCAGTTTGATTGTGAGGATGTCATTATTATTGTATAGGTTACTGTTATTTTTTACAAATTTTTTAACTTAGATCTACAGCTAGCTCTTTTTTCAAATGGTTGGTTGAGCGGTCGTGTATAACAACAACAACAATAATAATAACAACAATAATTTATTTCTAAACAGATGGTAAAAAGTTGTTTTTTTCTGCTGAAATTGTCCTATATTCTCGGATTCATGTTTTTAACACTCATACATACACTCACTTAATTCTCGCAGGCTTTGCGTGGAAAAGTGATGAACGTCAAGCAAACCTATCTTGCTTAACATTACCAAACTTGAAGAAAGTTTTGTTGAAAGATGAATAGATTTCCGACATTTAAAATTTTTAATAGTATTCAAAATTACAGAGACCAATAAGCGTAATTATAGATTAAGTAGCGTACACCTATTGCAATCCATTGTAATCCATTGCAATTTTTGGCAATTTAAAATTACCTTGGAATTGTGTCCACTCTTGTGAACTTAAAAAATATGCTGATTTTGTTGAAGAATGAATTTTTGCTTTATGTACTGATGTACTGGAGCCGCAATTAATGTATATAAACATTGATATACAAACAGATATTAATCAAATATATAAAACATTAGAAATATTTTGAAAACGGATGTGTCCAGACAACAATTTTAATTTATATATTCCAATTAAAATTTTGGTTAAAATCAGTTCATTTCCGGTTGAAGCCCTGACTTTCTCAGGTTTGTCATAACGTTTCGGTGATTTATATTATGGCAGGATCTTCTGCTTCTCGTGACTTTCAGGACATTGGCGACTATCGGCCTCCACAAAACCCTATCTTTAACACTTTGTAGCAGTTGAAATGTGGTGATATTCAACAAGTGACACAAGAACTTCACGAATGTAATTCGTTGTCGACCGCGATCTCTTTTCTTTGCAATTTTTCAAATTGTTGTTAGATTTTTCATTTTTTCCTTCCGCATGATGTGACCGAAAAACTGCCCCCGTCGGATTATTATTTGTTGAAATATCTTCTTTTCATAACCGGACCGTTTTAATACATCCTCATTGGAAGTATGAGAGGTGCAATTAATTTTCATAATTCTTCTCAAAAACCACATCTCAGCAGCATTACTTCCTTCTTCCATTTCTTTAGAAATCGTCCAGGACTCAGAGCCGTAAGTGAGTACAGGAAAAGTTTAATATTCTAAGTTTTAATTTTGTTGATATTCTGATTTTACTATTAGGATGTTTTTCATTTTAGAATATGCATCTTTCGCCATAACTATCCATCGTTTGATGTCTACATCACATTACAACTTGAGGTAATCAGACTTCCGAGATAATTGAAGCTGTTGACTTGTTTCACTTGTTTACCATTAATGATTATAGAGTAGGTCGGGGGAAGTTTTGCTTTTACTGATAACCAGGCACTCTGTTTTGCAAGCCTTTCCTTTCACTTTCAAAAACCAGTTTGGATACAATTGTTTACATTTTTTCTGTTGATTCCGCTGTTGATGAGATAGTTGTTGAAGAAATTAAATGCCTTGATGAATTTGGCATTGAAAAAGTGACAGAAATTTTAAATGAGATTTATAACAGCGGCGATATTCCAGAAGATCTATCCAAGTCAATATTTATTGCATTGCCTGAAAAACCTATTGAAATTAAATGTTTAATGATTAAATGTTAAAGACCGGTAACTGTTTCCTGAGAATTGGGAAACTAGTGATGTTTGCCTGCGCTACCGATTTTAAGATAGGAAGGAATGATTCACCTCTTCTCCTATTTTTGTTAATGAAAACAGTAAACATTACGCTCGTAAAATCAAAAAGTTAAACCGAACTGTTTTACTCAAATCTCTATGAGATTATACATTTCTACCATATTCGTAAAATATAGCAGTAAACATTAATAAAATAATGAAATAAATGAAAAATAACAAAATATCTTAACCATGTCTCCGTGCCATTCAAATCCTAGTTCTGTGTGTGATAGATCAGTTGCGACTTCGTTTAATCCATCTGATTTTACCGGTAAAAAATTCATAAGCTCCTCCACATAATTGTCATCATCACTAACAATTAACTTTGATCCTAACATAACATCATTTTGCAAATTGATTTCACTTTGTGAACTGATGTCAGATGTAGAGGATAATCCCTTAACCAGTGTATTTGTTTTTACACAAATCTTTGATGAATTTTCGCCAACATTTTTGTCAGTTTTACTACCAGTTAAAACCGTCTGTAGTCGTCCTGATTGAGATTGCGACAACTCACAGCCATCAGGACATTCCATTCCGTCTACGTCATCCACAAAAGAAACAGGTAAATAATATAACTGAGAATCAGGGGCATCTTGCAAAGAAATTACAATTGAAGAACATCCTTCATTATCTGTTGAAAGTTCATTAAATATGATACCCTCGGAGTCTAAATCAGATGCAATAACTGGTTGCAATACCTGATAATAGCCAATCTGTTATAAAAAATCATTTTGCTACACTAAATAATGCAATAAATGATGTTAAAAACAAAGTTAAATGAAAATTTGTTAACTTAAATAACACTAAAACCACACTAAATCATAAAGCAGATCATAACACATGAGAAATTATATTATATATTAATAAATTAATGACACTAGCCTAGTTTAATAAAAACAAATTAAAAAAAACTTTTAATGTTCATTTTATTGAACTTAAACGAATAAAATAAATTTTAACATACAAAAATAATGCCAAACATATAAGATGTACCTATGTTTGTATTTGTGGGTATTCAAAATATGTATGTGCGTGTGTATGTACCCATTGCATACCTGTATGTACGCATGTATGTATGTATGTATGTACGCATGTATGTATGTATGTATGTATGTATGTATGTATGTATGTATGTATGTATGTATGTATGTATGTATGTACGCATGTACGTATGTACGTATGTACGCATGTACGAATGTACGTATGTACGTATGTACGTATGTATGTATGTATGTATGTATGTATGTATGTATGTATGTAGTAGTTATAATGATGATTTGGAATTAAAAAGAGCACCCCACCTCCACGATTTTTTTAACTCCAAATAGTCATTATAACCACCCTATATCTTCTAAAAAAAATTTACAAAGAAAATGTTATTTAGAAATTATTTTATTCTTCAAAGTTCAATAAAATTATTTCATTTTATTCTTCCTAGCCTTGTATTTTGTTTTAAAAACGAAACTAAAAAATTAAATATTATTAGTGTATATATTTTTATTGGATAGCATAACATTATAGTTTGAGGTGTTTTAATACTGAAAAGAAATAAATATTTTTCATTTTAATTATTTACTAATATTATTTAATTATAATATTTAACAATGCAATAGATTCAACTAAAACACTTATCGAGTGAAATAAAATTTTAAAATAGTTAGTTGTATCCTTCAAAAGCTGGTTAAGATTGGCAAAAGAGGCTATTCTATAACTTGAATGTATGCATTCAAGCTCTTAATTGTTTAAACGCTCGCCGAAGTTTGCCAGGATAAAATTTTTTCAAAATTTTCTCTTTATTAAATACTTTTTAACCAATAATTTTCTTATCTGAAAATCATATAATTTACACTTCCTTTCAAAGAAAAGCAGAAAAAAAGTTTGTTATTAAAATTTAAAAACACAACTCAGACCTAAATTCACAATAATATTTAAAATTATTAATAATAGTTAAAGACAGAGTCGAAAACAAGCTAATATAAAAAAGTAAAACAAATTGAAAAAAGCTTTTGAAGTTTTTTTTAACTTGAAAGAATAAAATTGATCGATCAAACAACATTTCTTTTGAAAAATATTAAAAAATATAAAGTTGTTATAATAACAATTCGAAATTAAAAAAAAAGTAGGGTCATTTTTAAAAAAGTAACTACACAGTTGCATAGCGTCGCATTCCACGTTTTTTATAATTGTTATTTTAACTACTGCATATTGTCTAATATTTTTTACAAGTAATTGCTATTTAATCAATCAAACTTAAGAATTATTTTATTCCTATAAATTCAATAAAGCTTATATCTTGTTTTATTTAATTCTTTACAGTCGGGTATTTTGTTTTGGATACAAGACTAAAAAGATCAAATATTAATACTATAATATTTATATTAAATTCGTTAAAAAAGTGGAATACTTTTTAAAGGCCAATCAATAAATAATTATCAACCAGTTAATTATTCAAACGATCAACAAGAAATTTGTTATCACGAAATTTTTATGCAAAACTAAATTATAACTAGCATATTATTATTAAATAATTAATTAACAATATTAAAGTCTGAAGTGTTTTCAATAAGTGAATATAATTAAAATATTTATAGACAAACAGACGGAGTCGAAAGCAAGTTTTAAAAAAAGTTAATCATGCTTGGTCAGTCATTAGACTTATAATGTAGTAGAGTCATAAAAATTGAAACTTTTTGAATGTTCATGACAAACATGACTTGAATCTTGAAACAGCAACAATCAAAAAGCCACTACTTGCACTCTGGTTATAATCAACATTTTGGAGACAAAAAATTTTTGCATGATCTAGCCATACAAAATAAACAATATATAGGTAACAAAAATATGCCTACTCTAAAGTTGATAATTTTCTCATGTAGTAAATTTTAATAACATTGTAACAAAGATAATTCAAAATAAGCTGGGGTCACAAATAACATGATCAAACAATTTAGGTCAGAAAAACAGCAAAGTCAATTTTTTGTAGATAAGTGTTGCCGTGCTATTGATATAAAAGTTGACTGTCATCTGCAATGATCTTCATTAAAATGCAAGATTTTACTTTTAGCTATCTCTCCATTCCTCAGTAGGAGCCTGTATGAATCTAACGCTTTTTTCAGTATTGATCAATGATCACATAAATTAATGCCTTTATGCTGCTCAACAAATTTCAATATTTATCTACAACAATTTTGTGGTTCTCTTGGCAAACAAGGATAAAACATAAATTGAACAATGCATATTTTTTGAAAATCAAATTAGCAAGCCACACCATTCCCAATCATTCAACATAAATAAATAACAAATAATATTGTATCTATCATACTTGATCAGTGTTTGTGTGGATATCATTATCATCAATTGATCCTGCAAAATTATCTGGTAGTAAGGTATTAAGGAAATATTCTTGATTTGGAAATTTTGTGACCAAACCATCCACGTATGATGTCTTTTCTTCTATTGAGTTATTTTGGTCTAAGAAGTTGTCACATCTTGACAAATTTATAGAGAGGTTTTTTAGATTAAATTCTCTCTGTAAAAAACAAGAAAATTTAGATAAATTGTTAACAAAATACCGTTGAACAATATTAACATTGAAACATACATAAATTTTATTATTAATGTTATCCATAAGATCATTCTTTTCCATTTCTAACTGTCATGCACATATCATTTCTGTGACTGTGAATCAAAAATATAAAAAAAATTAAAAATACTTAACTTGAAATAACAATAGACAAAAGATAGACAAAAGTTCTTAATTTAAGGCATTATTGTATTACAAAACAGTAACATAAAACAATTTTCCACAAAAAAGCATTACCCGGAGAAGTGAAGTATAAAAAATTACAAAGAAGATTGCAAAATAGGATTTGTAAAAACATGCAAAACCAATGAAAAATTAAGTTCTTTTATAATTATTTTCAAGAACCACATGTATCTCATTTCTTTTACACCTTAACGATGGTGTCAAAGATTTCTTAAAACTAAAACTTCCAATTTAGTTTTATAGTGTTTCTGCGTCATATCGGACTGTATCTGATATCACCTGTGCACATGTGCCATGCTTCACTTTCATCCAATATATCATCATCCAACCCAAAGGTTTTAGTTGTGTTAGACCTTTAATAAAATAAAGTTTTGTACAGTAGTGAAGTAAGTGAAAACAAGAAATCTCCATCTGCAGTAAATATTACTGCCGGACGGACTGTTAGAAGATTGCTGAAGACACAGTAAATGTTTTTGTTTTGTAAATTAATCCTATGTTTTGACACTGATGCACACACTATATTGACATAAGCAAGCCATCAATATATCCTTTATAAAATATCAATGCTAACATCCAGAGTGTCAGAGTTGGAGATTTTTGTCAGAGTCTGAATTTTTTTGGGGAGTCGGAGTCAGATATTTTTCATCCAACTTTGGAAAATATTATCAATTTAAAAAAATTTTATTTTTTATGTTGACATTTTTTTGAGATAGTGCTTTTTGGAACATAAATATGTATAGTGATATGCAATCGTCTTTGATACTGAAAATAAATGCTAATAATGTGAGTAAAACCACTTTTTATTGATAAGCTTTAAGACATATATATAAAGTAATTTCACTAAGAACAACAATAATAATGATTGATTTTAAGTGTTCTCCGAAGTATTCTTTATTTAGTAGTAATAACAGGGTAAAATTATGATGCAAAAGTTGAAAAATTTTTCTTGAAGTCAAAATCCAGAGTCGGAGTTGAAAATTTTTACCCTGAGTTAGAATTTATGAGGAGCCAGAGTGTGATTCAGATATTTTTCATATTGAACAACAATCTCACAATACAATTAAATCAACATGTAACAACCAATTTGATGTTTCTAGAAACGATGTTATAACCCTAGGTAGATGTTGCTCACTTATCTGTAATGTACATTGCTCACTTGTAATATACCAACGAGTACAACTTAAAAAAAATGTATGAAATAATATATATTTTTAAAATTTGAAAATGCTGTAAAAAGAAATTCAATTTTCCCCTTTTGTTTCAGACTTCATCAAAACTATGTAGCCAGAATATTTTGCCAGGGAAGCCACAGCATTTACCACGAACCTAGTAATTTATACCTTATGCAGCAGTAATTACCACTGGCTAAGTGAAAAAACATATTGTGATATTTTACTGCAGATCTAGTAAATTGTCATGTATGCATTGCTTATTTGCCACAATGAAGTTAAAAGATTATCTGACGTAGTAATTTTTTGTAGCCTACTACTACGAAAAAATCAATTGCTTAATTTTTGATTACAACGTAACACCCCAAGTTATTGTTTACACTTTAGCTATCATTTTAGAAACTAAAGCAAAGGAATGAAATTCCATCAAATAATAATTTATCAAATAGAAACTGGCCTAGCTTTTTAATTTTAAGCAAAAAATTATGTTAATGTCAACAAGTGTGTCAGATGCATAGCTTGCTTCAAATTTAAAATTACAATTATCTAATTATCCTTAATCATTGGCTCCATTATCTTTAACAAGTCTGAATTTTGTAGTAGTTATGTTATTTATATGATGAAAAAATATAATGGTTTATTATCAACAGGCTGAAATTTTTGTATTTTTTTATTGAAAGTACTTGTGTTGTTATATTGTGTTGTTATATTTGTTTATTTTTTTATATATACCCCTACAAAAATACATGTACAAAACTGAGGGCACTTAGTATAGGATATACTTAGTATATCTAACAATACAAATAGTATTAAATCTAAAAACTCAAATTATCAAAATCATTTCTTCAAATTTATATTCATCTATCTTTTATATGTCAACACTTATTTTCAACCTATTCATGATTTTTAAGAGGATAATTTTTTCTGTGGCCCATCGCATTGACATCTCTAATCTAATCTAATGATTAGGTCCTAATCAATGCTAATTTAACAGGGTGTATATGTTCATTATATATATATATATATATATATATATAGCATTATTATTAATTATATACTACTACTAATACTATATTTTATAATTTATAGTAGAGGTAATCTATTTTTATTATTATATAGAAAATATATTACATTCATATTGGCAAGTCAGAAAAAAAACTTATTATTTCATAAACAGTGTACACATAAAAAAATTATAAAACAAAATAATGTAAATTTACTTTATTAACAAGAAGTTTTAAAACCGTTCCAGCATTCGTACGCATATCAACCTCGACATAAGTCGATGAAGTTTCCCACGAATTTGTTGAGCAAATTGTTATTTCAAATCATATATATATAATAAACAACAAACAACAATAAACAGTCAGAAAAAACAACAAATCGTTCAGAGAAAAAAATCATCTGCATTATATTTACACATTGCATCCATTTATTCTTCCAGTATGAAAAACTAAACGACTGCCGCAGCTATGAAAAAATGTAAAACTATGGATATATATTATGTATTATATCCATGTGTAAATCATCGTCACTATCCATAAAAAAAGACCCACAGAGAAATAAGTACAGTGGTATATCATTGGCTGCACGACCACAAAATATCATATTTATTTAAACATTTTCTAAATTTTTAACCCTTGCCAATCAAAGTTGTCTAGACCCGCCACTGAATATGTCGCAACAGTTAACAGCTGGAAAGGTATTGTCAACGTCAGAAATCGTTTTATTTCAATGCGATTTTTTTTTTCAATAAAACATTTTACGGCACTGCAGCTCCCAAGATGGTGCCATAATTTGCTAGTAATTTTGATTTTTTTTTCTAATTTTTGTTTTATTTTCTTTTGTTTTTTCTAATTATTTACTTCCTATTATTACATCCTCAAAATCAAACATAGCCGAAACGGAAAAATCCGATCAAACCATATCAAGACATCAATTCAGGAAATAAATGGTAATCTTTGACTTAAGTATACTTTAAGAGGTAAGGTTGTAATAGTTAATTCCAGTCTTTCTAAGTTGACAGGTAACAGATTCAATAACCACACCATAGACCAGAAGCACCAGAAGCTGACGCCAGCACGAAGAGAAAAAACCCACCTTCCGTTCGCCAGCCCCACTCCAGTGCATTCACTCTATTTCAATAAAGTTTTGACTATTTAAGTTCCTGGTACGGCGCTTGAGCTTCTACCACGGAGGAAATCCACAGACGGCATTCGATACAACTTTGAGAAGAATATAAAGATTAAGGTAAGGGTGGGAGGATTCTTTTCTAGCGGCACACGAGCTTTCATCATGGTATTTAGCCACAGTAGATTCTTGACGCACCTCGAGAAAAATGCAGAACTGCACAAATCCTCCCTAAGATATTAGAGTCTCCACTATAGTATTTAGCCACAGCAGATTCTCAACACACCCGTGCAAACCGTACAGATGTAAAAAAACCCATCAATGAGCCTCCACCATGGTATTTAGTCACAAAAGATTCTCGACACACCCCGAGGGATTTTTGAGCCTCAACTAAGAGAAATGTTTAAACCATGGATATATAAATTATAAGTTATAACCATGGTTTAAACCCCCTACAGTATCCGAGTCTCTACTGAAGTGGCTATCCACAGCAGATTCTCGAAATTCCTTCGGGGAAATGTATATCTTCTCTTTGTCATATCTGAGTCATCAATACGAGGCATGTCCACAGTAGAAAACCTGACACGCCACACAGGATGATTAAGATTTTCCTATTTATGTTGGTGAAATGCACAAAGAGAAAGCCACAGACCAGTAAGACCGGCAAACCAACCCGGGTTCAACCACCCAAGACAGCGCCACTCCCAGCACCTCCAGACACAACACAATCATCGAATCCATATTTCCGTCAGTTGTAGAAGACAAGTACTTTATATACCTAAGCTTCTTGGTGTTAAAAAATTAATTGGTTCAATCCTCATTCTAGACCAATACATCGACACAGCCCAATCAAGAAACCCCCTCGACTGTATGATTTAAAAGTTGTTTCAGTGAAATTTATATCATATCATAGTAATTAATCTCTTTTAGGTATTCTATCATTGAAATGATATTTTCTTTTATTTTCAAAATGTCAATTAGATTATCAGGCAAGGATAACCAAGTTCTTTTTTCTTTTGTTTTATTGCAAATAAATATATGTTTAATAGTTAATTTATTAATACAGAATTGACAAGTTGGAATTTCTTTTTTATTTAGGAGATAGTTATGAGTGAGATTAGTGTGGTCTATCATGATTCCATAAATTTTGTTTACTATAAATCTATAGTTAAATGTAATAATATTTGTTTTTGCAATATTTGGTCGTATTTGCTGGAGATGTGTTTTTGTTTGATCCCAGTCTATTTGCCATAATGATATTAGATATTTTGCAATGTTTGGTTTTAAATTAGAATGTGGAATCGCAATATCTGTTATATGGGGATCTGGTGATCTTTCATTGCTAACATGTCAACCTTTTCATTGCTAAATATCCCAATATGACTGAGAATCCATAATATTTGGATATTACATTTTTTTTTGTAATAACTTATGTATTTTAATTTTTATATATTTTATCAGTTCATTATTTATTTCAAATTGTTTAAGGGCTACTACAGTTGACAAAGAATCTGTCATTATGATATATCTTTTATTATTTTCATTTGTTAGTTGATCTAAAGCTAGATTTGTTGTATAAATTGATGTTATATTCGATAAA